TTGAACTCACAGAGATCCACCTGCCTCTGCCTGCCGAGTGCTGGGATTAAAGACATGTGTCACCAATGTCCGGCTGACAGAATATTTTCTTTAAATTTTGCTAAATGTTAATGGATTAAATATTGTTAACTATAGTTCTTACTTGATAACTGTTTTGCTATATATAATTTTACTATGTTAAAGTTAAAACCTTTCTTTTTATTTAGACAGGAAAGAGGAGATGAAGGGGGGTGTTCTTCTGTATATGTTTCTCTTATTGGTTGATGAATAAAATACTGTGTGGCCAATAGAGGCAGGAAGATAGGTGGGACTAGGAGACAAGGAGAATTCTGGGAAAGGTAGTCAGAGAGGCACCGCAGGGAGACGCCACATAGTCCACAACGGAGTAACAGGTTCAGGCATTCTCCGGTAAGATAAGACCACGTGGAAACATACAGATTAATAGTAATGGGTTAGTAATAAAGACAGAGCAAGCCAATAAGAAGCCCTAGCCATTGGCCAACATTTTCATAATTAATATAGCACCTCTGTGTGATTATTTGGGGCTGAGGGCAGCAGGACCTGGCTGGAAGGCAACTGCAGAAACAGCTATTGGATAATTGTGAAGGGCGGCTTTTCCTTGCTAGTCGCCTGGGCTCTTCCACATTGTAGTCCCCAAATAACACACAAGACGCTGTATTAATTATGAAGCTGTTGGCCTTGCTTGTTTTTTACGGGCTAGCTCTGACTTAAGTAATTACCCCATAACTGTTAATCTAAATATTTCTCTTACCGGAGAACTTTCCGGGCTTCCTACCCCATGGCGTTACATCTTGACTCTCTGTGTTTCTCCTACCCGGAGTCCTCCTGGACTCCTAGTCCCACCTATCTTGCTTCCCTATTGGCCAACAGCGCTTTATTGACATATACACAGGACTTCCCCAACAGATAATCTCTGCTCCCTTTACTTTCTTTTATGGTGTCCTCTTAGATCTTTTTTGCTCAGTTTTTCTGGGACTATTTATTCTTTAGATCCTATTGGGTGTGTTTACTATTCTCTTCAGACCAAGGCATTTCTTCTAGTCTCCTCTGTAGAGCTGGCCGAGGGAGCAGTGACACACTTCCTCCAAGGCCACACCCACTTCAACAAGGCCACACCTCCTAACAGTGTCACTCCCTATGAGATTATGGGGCAGATTACATTCAAACTACCACATTGCACTCCCTGGCTCCTATAACCTTGTAACAATATCATAATGCCAAATATATTTAGTCCACATTCAAAATCCCCATAGTCCATCACAATCTCAACTGTTTAAAAGTCCAAAGTGTCTTCTGAAATTCTTGCAATCCCTTAACTGTAGTCACCTGTAAAATCAAAATCAAAAAACAGATCACACACTTCCAACATATAATAAAGCAGGATACACATTACTGCTCCAAAATGTAGGGACGGGAGCACAGTGAGGAAATACTGGACCAGAGCAAGACTGAAAACCATCTGGGCAACCCCAAACTCTGCATCTCCTGTCTGATGTCAAAGAGCTCTTCAGATCTCCAGCTCCTTTCACTTTGTGGACTGCAACATACTTCTTCCCCTTGGGCTGGTTCACTCCCTGTTAGCAGCTCTCCTTGGCAGGTATCCCACGCCTCTGGCATCTCTGACATCCTGGGTTCTCCAAGACAAACCAGGCTTCACCTTCACAGCTTCACGAACTAGCCTCTGTACTTGGCCTCCATTCAGGGACACCCCTGACACATGGCTGGCCTCAGCGGCATTCTGTAGGTGCAGAGACAAGTTCTATAGCCCATTTCTTCTACCCTTGACTCTGAAGTCAGAAGCACGTGGCCAAAGCTGCCAAATTCCGCTGCTTGCTGGGGATGGGACATGGCCCCTTCCTACAATTACATCTACACCAGCTTTCTGTTCTTTTACATCATCATCATCATCATCATTATTATTAATTATTATTATTATTATTTGGATTTTCGAGACAGGGTTTCTCTATATTGTTTTGGAGGCTGTCCGGAACTTACTCTATAGACCAGGCTGGCCTCGAACTCACAGAGATCTGCCTGCCTCTGCCTCCCGAGTGCTGGGATTAAAGGCATGCGCCACCACTGCTTTGCCTAAACCTTTAATTCCTTTTCACAAATTGGAAATTTAGCTGGGTGGGATTTTGCCCTGAGGTCACCACTCTCTTTATGTTATTTCTTTATCTGTTTATATAGGATTTAGCTCCATTCCACTTCCTGGTGCTCCTCCTTTCCTTCTGAAATAGATTTCCCTGCTCAGCTTGCCCTTTTCATTAGGATAAGTATGAGAGTTATCACTAATAACCACACGACAGAGTCTGCACTAGGCTGTTTTGAGATTTCCTCTGCCAACAGAATTAATCCAAAACTCTTCACTTTAGCCTCAGGCAGATTATTTTGACAAGGGCAAAAAGCAGTTACTTTCTTCACCAAAATATCACAAGGATGATTTCTAGCCAACATGTTAAATTCGGCTCCTCTGAAATCCCTTGATCCAGCCTCGGACAGTGCACGTCATTATCAGCACCGCTGACTTCTGTGCTCCTACTAGAACGGCCCATTAAGCAGTGCTTACAGCATTTCACTGCTTCCCCCACCCAAAGTACCAAAGTCCACATTCCTCCCAACAGAAACATCTTCCGGCCTACCACATCAGTACCCTGGTACCAACTTCTGTCTTAGGGTTTCTATTGCTGTGAAGAACACCATGACATGGCATCTCTTATAAAAGGAAACATTTAATAAGGTGGCTTACCGTTAGGAGGTTCACTCCACTACAGTCATGGTGGGACATGGCGGCGTGCAGACAGACATGGTGCTGGAGAAGGAGCTGAGAGTCCTGCATCTCACAGGCAACAGGAAGTTGACCGTGACACTGAGTGAAGCTTAAGCCAAAGAGACCCCAAAGCCTGTCCCCATGGTGACACACTTCCTCCAACAAGGCCACACCTGCTTCAATAAGGCCACACCTTCTAATAGTGCCACTTTTGGGGGGACCATTTTCTTTCAAACCACCACACCAACTGAACCCAAACTACTAAAAGTAGGCAAGAGGAGGATGCTCTCAAGACGCCTCTCCTGGGTAAAACTCAAAGAGCAGCAGAGATCAGGGGAGGGACAGCAGGGGAAGGACAGCAGGGGACAGCAGGGGAGGGACAGCAGGGGAGGGACAGCAGGGGAGGGACAGCAGGGGAGGGCAGGGGAGGGACAGCAGGGGAGGGGCAGCAGGGGAGGGACAGCAGGGGAGGGACAGCAGGGGTGAGCAGGGCATAGCTGAGTGTTGGGTCCTAGCCCCCACAGGGTCTCTGAGTTGCTTGTCAGCTGATAGCCACAGGTGCATCCTGTTTTCTAGTCCTGGATTACTGCCCCCGCATTACCCCACTGACATCAACATCTAGCAGGAGGAAAACACGCTCTCTTCCACCTGGGGTTTTTCCACTGTCCTGTAAGTCTGTATATAAAGCTGTTCCCAATCTACAAGAGACAGAGACAGAGAGAGAGAGAGACAGACAGAGAGAGAGAGAGAGAGAGAGAGAGAGAGAGAGAGAGAGAGAGAGAGAGAGAGAGAGAGAGAGAGAGAGAGAGAGATCTTAGCACTTGCAATAGGGAGACATTCACACACGCATTCTCTGGGCAAAAGCTGCAGACGCATTCTCTTAGCCCAAACGGTTGGACGTCTTGCCTTTCATTTCCTGATACCTCAGACTTGTTTGTGGTGCAGACGCCACAGCTGAGGAGGGCAGAGGAGGGCAGGGGAGAGTAGGGGAGGGAAGGGGATGCAGTGTAGGGGCCTTTCTCCCAGCATCTTAAAATCTTGAAACAAAGAGATGGCTCACACATTCAGAGAGTGATGTGTGGAGCAGCCACAGCAGACCCTCATGGGAATGTAGGCCCCACCTCTGTGGGAATATTGCAGGGGAAGTGCGGGGAGAGCTTTTGATACAGGGTGCCAGGTGCACGCCTCACTGTACTGGAGCATCTGTGAGCGTCCAAGTGACGGGTGCTCCCACAAGGTCTGTTCAGGTGTCGATTTGACTGACACCCAGAAGGGCCTTAAAGCTGGCAACTGGTGAGTCAAACTGACCATTGTCCCCCCAATATTCTTACCCATATACAGGAAGCAAACTCATGATAAAGCTTTTTATTAATAGTAGTACTGATTTCAAGGCTTAATGGGGCTTCAACAGACACTGGCCCAGTGCGCCAAGGAGAGGTGGGCTGATGGGAGATGCCACTCTGTAAATCTGTCTCTCATTGGCTGTTGAATAAAGCACTGTTGGCCAATAGGGAAGCAAGATAGGTGGGAGTAGGAGTCGAGGAGGATTCTGGGAAGGAGAAACACAGGGAGTCATGATGTAGCCGCCATAGGGGTAAGAAATCCAGATCCTTTCTCCGGTAAGAGAAATACTTAGATTAACAATTATGGAGTAGATACTTAAGTCAGAGCTAGCCAGTAAGAAACCAAGCAAACTGCCAACAGCTTCATAATTAATATAGCCTCCTGTGTGTTCATTTGGGACTGATGCGGCTCTGGAACCAGGCTGGCAGGAAGGCTTCTCTCTACAGTGGGCCCTCCATGCCTGTCTTCCAGGGGCCACATCAGGGCACAGCACAGACACTCCTCAAGTTAAATCTTGGAGACACAGCCTGTTTGCCAGCCTTTGTGTCCACAGATCCTAGCAGTTCCTCCAGGTGCCTGCTGAGCCTTGACTGCCCAGTCCTGGGCCAGCTCTGCCGGTGCTCCCTGTACATTCCCTTCCCTTCAAGCATCTCTCACAGATAAATGCGAAAGACTGCAAGAGAGTGACCTGGGGAGAGGACAGAATCTTCCCGTAAGGGTTAGCCAGGACAGGAGCAGACCTGAGCCACAGATCTGCCCACAGCAGACAGAGTGTCTTCCTGAACCTCCTCCTGAAGACTGAAGCTCATGGCCGCCCAACCTCTCACCTGACGAGACCCCACAGTTCCCAGGACACACATGTTACCTCCTCTTCCATGCTCAGGAAGATTCTTCTGAGGCTAGTGATCCTACCCATGTGACAGTGGTGTGCATATGGGACAGTCCTCCAATCAGTTGTGACGCAAATGGTCCTTTAGCATCCTGCAGAGTCACCTCCCTGGCTCCTACGTCCGAGAGTGAGCATCAGACACTGGGAAAACTAGGCAGCCAGCTGTGTCACAAAAAGAAGCAAGCCCTCGTTGGGGACTCCAGGGCCTCTCTTTGTGATGACAGTTCCAAGGACAGAACATAGCAGAGGTCATTGCTAGGGTGGGTGGATGTCCTCCTAGGAGACAGGGGTCCCCATCGGTCTTGTTCAAAGTGGGACATGGGGGGCTGAAAACTGGAGGAGTCCTGACGGCAGGCCTGACCCCACAGCTCATGTGACCCTGGGAGGGACTCTCACCTGGAAGGAGCCTGAGCTCAGCCAGAAGAGCAGCAGAGCTGACAGCGGCTGCGGGCCTGAGGGCAGGGCTGGGGCTGAAGCTCTTCTCCTCAGAGGGCAACAGAGCCAGCAGCAGAGACCATGCAGCTCCTCTCAGCCCCGCCCCCCACAGGGAACACCCTCTGGCAGGGCTTCCTGCTCACAGGTGAGGGAGCCAACCCTGGGGCTGGGGGATGGGGGGAGGGTGAGCAGGAGTGAGTGAGGGTCTCTGGGGAGAGCAGGACTGAGAGAGGCACCAGGGCATCTGCTTGTGTGTAGGAGAGGACAGGAAGCCGCACAGATGCTCAAAATAGGAAGCCTTGTAGAATTAACAATTAGAACACTCAAGGCTCCCTGTTCCAACAACAGTTCTCACTTTCCACCACGTGCTTAAGACTGGGGCTGTAACCACATGGGGTGACTCTCCACACACAAGGAAAACTGGGGTGATCAAACTCTTGACATAAAGGTTTTGGGGCATACACTCATACCTGCTCAGGGGTGTAAGCCTTTTTCTGATATCAGGGCTGCAACAAGATCATTTTAGTCTCTGTCCTCACGGGGACATCATCACAGAGAGCAGAGAGAGATCAACACAGACAGCTAGTAGAGGTCAGAGTTTGACAGTAAGCATGGGGGAAAGAGAGCAGGAAAGGCCAGAAAGAGATGAGCCCGGGTCTCCTGAGCAGGAAGACACACACATACACACACACACACACACACACACACACACACACACACACATACACACACTCACACACTCACACACACTCACACACACATATACACACATACACACTCACATACATATATACACACACTCTCACACACACATATACACACACACTCACACACACATACACACATACACACACTCACACACATATACACACATACACACACTCACACACATATATACATATACACGCACTCACACACACTCACACACATACACACACTCACACACACATATACACACATACACACACTCACACACACTCACACACATACACACACTCACACACACATATACACACATACACACACTCACACACTCACACACACACAAGCCATCTCATGACATAGAGCCCCCATCTTTCATCTCGTAATAAAGTCTCACATTGATGCGTTTCTCTCTCTCCCTCCCTAGCCTCGGTTTTAACCTTCTGGAGCCCATCCCCAACTATGGGACTGTTTATTGAACAAGTGCCACCTGCTGTTTTGGAAGATGGGATTGTTTTCCTACATTTACGGGATAAACCACCGAATATCGTCACTTATAACTGGTATAGATCAGAAAATTATTCTGATAGCGGCCTCGTGTGTGGGTATACAGATAACACTCACAAACAAGGAGGGGCAAACACCGGAAGAGAGAAGATGTACAGCAATGGAACCCTGAGGATGCAGGGTATGGGCAGGAACTACTCAGGACCATACCACGCACTGTTAGTTGACAACCTTCAAAAACGATTTACCACAAAGACAAATCTTGTCATATACCGTAAGTGACTCCCTGTGGTCTCTAGCAGCTGAGTGGGGTTCACTGCATCTCTCTAACTGTCTGTCTGTCTCTGTCTCTGTTTCTCTCTCTCTCTGTCTCTCTCTCTCTGTCTCTTTCACACACATGCACACGCGTGTGCACACACACACATTCAGGCTTTAGTGTGGACCGGGCCTCATCTTCTGTACATCGCGGTCCCTTACTAGGCTTTGAGCACTTAGTGGAGGACACACACGGTGGAAACAGACCTGAAGAGGGGAGACTCCTCCCCTGTATCCAGGGTGCAGACAGCAGGCTAGTGTGAAGGGAGTCTGCCCCACACCTGTCCCTGTCCCTGGAACCATGGCTCCGCGGCAGGTCCTGAGGGCTCAGGCGAGGACTGGTTGAGGGCCCTGGGTCCTCACAAAGGAGGTCTTTCTACCAAGATCAGGTGACTGTGAGGGTCTATAGACCAGGTAGTAATCCCCACAACAGCTACCCTGCAGAAAGGAAACCAAAGCTCTGGGAAGTGCCGCTGCTGATTCTGGGCCACACGGGGCATGCGTGCTGGGCAGAGGACGCCATGTCTGCCTGCAGGACAGTCCTGTCTATGACTGGGTTTCTTCTGAGGCACCCGTGGAGCTGCTGGGTCAGGTGCTTTCCTCACAGACAGGAAGCTCGGGAGAGAGACTGCTGTGTGGTCTAGAGCACATACACAGCCTTTTCCTTCTGTGTGGGCTAGAGCACACACACAGCCTTTTCCTTCTGTGTGGTCTAGAGCACACACACAGCCTTTTCCTTCTGTGTGGTCTAGAGCACATACACAGCCTTTTCCTTCTGTGTGGTCTAGAGCACACACACACACAGCCTTTTCCTTCTGTGTGGGCTAGAGCACATACACAGCCTTTTCCTTCTGTGTGGTCTAGAGCACATACACAGCCTTTTCCTTCTGTGTGGTCTAGAGCACACACACACACAGCCTTTTCCTTCTGTGTGGTCTAGAGCACATACACAGCCTTTTCCTTCTGTGTGGTCTAGAGCACATACACAGCCTTTTCCTTCTGTGTGGTCTAGAGCACACACACAGCCTTTTCCTTCTGTGTGGTCTAGAGCACATACACAGCCTTTTCCTTCTGTGTGGGTTAGAGCACACACACAGCCTTTTCATTCTGCAACAGAATCACACGAAGCAGGAGAATGAGCAGTGAACGTGTGGATGCAGGAATGGACAAAACTATGTCCTGGAACCTTTCAGAAACCGCAAGTCAAACAGAACCTGGGATATTCTGACAACACCTGCTCCTGGCCCTCCTGGAGGTTGAGACCTTCTTCCAACCTCTGACCCCTGCTCCTAGGGTCCCCTGGCTCAGAAACTAGTCACAGGTTGCCTCTAAGGCTGCTGGGATGTAGGGAGGTTCTCAGGAATATTCTCGTTTGGCCCTGTATTTTTATTTAGTTTCCTTTATTCATTGGAGGGAGGGGATGGGACACACAGGCAGCAGTGCCTGTAGAACCCACTGGACAACTGGTGGCTCCGGCGACTGACTCAGGTCATCAGCCTTGGGACAGTGCCTTTACCACTCACGTCTTCTGCTGCCTTAGCTTGGATGAGTCAGTGGAGTTCATGGTCTGTGTGGACTTGGAAGTCATGTGAGACCCCTGCCTCTCTGCCACTTCCCTGCCTCTCACGTCCTCTTCCCTCGATCCAGGCAGAGGTGTCCCTGCCTACCTTGCCCTTCCCTGCAGTCTACGGCAGAGCATCCATTCTTAGTCACTGACCCCGAGCCAGGGACTCCTGTGAGTAGAAGCAGGGGCTCCTGTGAGTTTCCGTTAGGAGCCGATGGTCCAGCAGTTGCCGTGCCTGACCTAGGGCTCTTGTGTGGCTGACATGTGAAGCAGGTCACAAGACAGGACATGAGAGGCATGGGGTCTGAGGCACAAGGCCAGGCCTGCAGGCCACAAAGGCCCAGGCTCCTCCCCGACTTTGCTACTGACTGGGACAGCAACCTCCTCCAGGAAAGGAGGTCCACGCTCCTCCCCTGGTTCCTAGGACGTTCAATAGGGAGCTGGTCCAACCAGTGCCGAGATGGCCTTATCCTCCTCCACATCTAACTGGTGTTCGGGATGTCCCTGGTGTAACTAAGTGGTCCCCTCAGATGGTAGCATACTGAAGGTGATGCCAATTCTAACTTTGCCCCCTTTGGGGGATTTGATGCAGCTCCAGTTGTGATTTCCGGATCCAAGAGGAAAGGGAGGAAGCATTTCCCATGGATTTATTGGCTCCCATGCACTCTCCCTGACTCTCCACGGCAGCTGTGGACATCCACGCCTTGAAACGTACTAACACGACACTCCATTTTCCCCCTTCTCCCCCTGTGCAGCTGACCCAGGGGCTGAGTGCTCAGGGCCCTGGGCATCCGTCTGTGGCCAGTGAGACCCACCCTTGTAGACAGAGCACTTCTGGGTCTCCAGAACCACACTGATCACTCTTTCCTGTTGTCTACACAGCACAGGTCAAGAGTCTCAATTGTACAAGCAATGGTACCATAGCTGTGGAGTATCAGACCACCATTGAGTTCAAATGTGAGCCTCAGTATTCACTCACTAAGTACATATGGAAGCTCAATGGTAGGAGCATTACAGCTGATAGCGATGCCATCCTGTCTGCGAATTTCACAATTCTCACTTTACCAAAGGTCAAAAGGCATTCCTGTGGAACCTATTTTTGTGAAGCCAAGAACCCAGCAAGCAGCCTTAAGAGCCAAGCACTGTCCCTGGAAGTTATCTGTGAGTAACGTCCATTTCCCATGATCCCCGCTGCCCAGACACCCATGCTCTGTGACCATACCACACAGAGCGCAGGCCCAGGTCACCAGTTCTCGATCCGGAACTCCCAGGCTGGCAACGCCATCTGTTCACACACATCCTAGCAGCCCAAGCCCTTAGACAGAGATGGGAGAGGGTGCTTTTGTGTGAGAGGCTTGGGATTACAGTGACGGGAAGCAGAGGACGTTGCACTTTAAGGACACAGGGTGAGGAGGGGCATTGCCAGCTCTGCTTGGGACATCTTATAAAACGCTCCCACCTGACTCAGGGATGCAGTGACCCTTCTACAGGACAAGAACTTTCTTTACTCTCTCGTGTCATCACGTATCTCTCTTTCCTCCAGATGGCCCAGATGTCCCCATATTGTTTCCAAAAGACAGTTCATTCCCGGAGGGATCAAATATAAGGATATCCTGTGTGTCAGTCTCTCACCCAAAAGCAAACTATTCCTGGACTTTCAATGGGAAGCCCAGGATTGATTCCAAAGTGCTCAGTATCAACAATGCCACCAAAATCCATAATGGAATATATGCCTGCACTGCTTTTAATCCTGCAAATAACTTGACGAATTCCACAGCTAAGCAACTTACAATCTATGGTAAGTGGATGTCTGAACCATCAGGGCCAGTCTCTGTGGTGGTTGCTGGTTTTCTGTAAAGAATGTGGAGGAATGAATGAACTCCATAGCTTGTGTCCACAGTCACACACAAATCCCAGTCCTCCTGTGTGACTCCTGATTCAGGAGACACTCTCCCAGACCCCCTGACTTGTCTCTGCAGGCTTAGTGAAAGACAGTTAAAGACATAGGGTGGAGAGCCACTGAGAAAGACACCTGGTATTGACCCGCAGTGTCCACACTCATGCCGTCATATGACATGGATGCACACCCGTGTCACACACACACACACACACACACACACACACACACACACACACACACAACTAACAGATTGTATATAAGGACTTTGATTGTAGCTGTGATGGTTAATGGTGTCCATGTGATCAGACCTGGCATTCCTGAAGACAGAAGTACCTGGCCTGGTCTGTAGGGATTATGGAGATGGGCTGACTGTGGAGGAAGGGCCCATGCTAAATGTGGACTGGATCCCAGGGCTGCGTCAAAAGGAGAAAGCTGCTCTGATTCCTAACTGGACACATGTGGCCAGCCTCCTGCTCCTGACGGCCACATCTTCCCGTCTAGGCTGGCCTGCACCCCTGCACATGAAGCCCAGGCACACCCTTCCTTAAGATGGAGAGACACAACCGTGCCACCGCCCACGCTCTGGGGATGCAGAGGAAGGAAGAGCAGGATTCCAAGTCATCTTCAGACACACAGCAAGTTACAGCCAGCCTCAGCTATCGGAAACACTGCCTCAGCAAAAACAAGAAAGTATCAGAGGGAATGCAAAAATTACCTTGGTACAATACAGGATTGCTGGAAAGTAACAAATAATCACAAAAGAGCAATGGCATTACAAGAGACACCAAGGACGCGGAGAGGACTGTTAAGAAATGTGCTGAATACTGCTCTTGAGTATATACCTAAAAGATGCTCAACCAAACCGCAAGGACATCTGCTCACGCATGTTCATAGCAGCATTATTCATAGTAGCCAGAAACAACCTAGTCGCCCCTCAACTGAAGAATGGATCAAGAAAATGTGGTGCATTTACACAATGGAGAACGACTCAGCAATAAAACACAATGGCATCATGAACTTTGTAGGCAAATGATGGAACTAGAAAAATCATCCTGAGTGAGATAACCCAGACCCAGAAAGACAAGCATGGTGTGTCCTCACTCAGAAGCGGATATTAGATGCAAAACAAGGGGTAACCAGGCTGCAATGCACAACCCCAGGCAGGCTAAAAAGGAGGAGCCCTAGAGGGACACATGTATCAAGTATCATCCCAGGAAGGGGAAATAGTTCGGATCCCCTGGGTAAACTGGGAGAAGGGGCACAGAGGGGAACGTGTGGGGGATGGGAACATGAGGAATCACGATTGATGAGATGGGGGAGAGAGGGAGGGAGAGAGCAGTGAAAGAGATATGGATAGGGAGAGCTATTATGGGGTCAGGGACAAACCTGGTACTAAGGAAATTCCCAGTAATCCACAAGGACACACCCAGTTAAGCCTCTTAGCAGTAGTGGAGAGGGTGCTGAAACTGGCCTTCTCCTGTGATGAGACTGGAGACTACCCTGACTGTCATCATAGAACCCACATCCAGTAACTAATGGAAACAGGTGCAGAGATCCACAGCCAAGTGCTGGGCTGAGCTCCTGGAGGTCAGCTGAAGAGAGGGAAAAGGGATTATATGAGCAAAGGGGGGCGTGTCAAAATCATGATGGGGAAAACCACGGAGACAGCTGACCCGAGCTAGGGGGAGCTCACCGACTCTGGCCTGACAGCTGGAGAACCTGCAGGGGACTGAACTAGGTCCTCTGATTGTGGGTGACAGTTGTGTAGCTTGGTCTGTTTGTGGGGCCCCTGGCAGTGGGACCAGGACTTATCCTTGGTGCATGAACTGGCTTTTTGGAGCCCATTCCCTACGGTGGGATGCCTTGCTCAACCTGGATGCGGGAGGGGCTGGGTCCTGCTTCAACTTGGTCTACCAGACTTTGTTGACTCCTCAAGGGAGGCTCCACCCCCTCTGAGGAGTGGATGGAGGGAGGTGGGGGTGGGAAGAAGCAAGAGAAGGGGAGGGAGGGAAACTGGTTGGTATGTAAAACAAACACAATTTAAATGAAAAATCATATAAATATATAACAGAAATGTGCTGAAGATGTACACACTAAAAGGCTGGGAGAGGAGAAGGGGTAAATCCCTTCACACACAGCAGCCAAAACGGTAACTCAAGAATGTGTAATCACAGTGAAACTGTAACTGAAATCTCCCCACAGAAGCCCAAGTCTGGAGTTCTACAGACATGTAAAGAGAATCTAAGGCCTGGGACACAGGGCTCAGTGGCCAACAGATAGGTGATGGAGCCCTGGCTGAGGACCCAAGTTCAGTTCCCAAGGCCCTGCTGGTCAGCGCACAGCCAACTGTAACAGCAGCAGAGCACACTTGACGCCCTCTTCTGTTTCCATACACACGTCTGCTCGTGTACAAGGCGTGTACATGACACACACCCACAGACTCACACACAATCACACAAACACACAAACACATCCACACACTCACACTCAAACACACTCACACTCACTCATACACATACACTTACACAGACTCACACACAATCACACAAACACACCCACACACTCACACTCAAACACACTCATACAAACACGCGCACACTCATACACATACACTCACACAAACACACACTCACATACATACACTCACACACTCACACAGTAACACACTCACACACTCACATACTTACACATACACTCACACAAACACACACTCACACTCTCACACACACAAACACTCTCACACAGTAACACACACAACACTCACATACACAAACACAGTCACACACTTACACACACATACACTCACACATACACTCACACATACACTCACACTCTCACACACTCACACACAGTCTGTGGAGAAAGGGGACACAACTGGAAAACATTTAAGAAGTCTTGGCCTAGGGGAGGGGCTAGGAATGAACCCAGACAGCTACAGCCACCTGCTTGGCAGTGAAGTTGTCAAAGCAGACACTGGAGAAATGACGTCCTCCCAACAAATGGGGGTGGGAAATCTGCATATCACATGGGGAAGAGGAATGACAGCCCATCCGTCAGCGGGACAGAAATCAGGTCAGGGGTCTGGGACAGCCCTCAGTCAGCAGCCTGCTTGTCTGTCATCCACGGAGCCCTGGCTTTGACCCCAGCAGTGCACGGATCAGGTGCAGCGTGCACACACGTGCTCCCAGTGCTTGGGAGGTGGAGAAGGGAGAGGATCAGAACTCACGCTCATCCTTGCCAACATAACCAGTCTGAGCCAGCCTGGGCTCCATGGAACCTGCTGTGGAAATCCTTCTGCACACTGCGCAGATTCGTTGCTATGGCTGGTTTAATGAGCAAGCTGGCTGACCAATAGCTGAGCAGGATAAAGTTCTGTGGGAGAGCCACAGAGAATGGCGGGATGAGGCGGGGCAGACTGAGGGGAGTCGCCAGCAGAGAGAGAAGCAGTCAGACACACACAAGGGATACGGTAAATGCCAGGAGCCTCAGGGCCATACGGACACGAGCAGAAGTCTGTTAATGTAAATGTAAGATCTAGCTAATAACAAGCCTCAGCCATCTGCCGAGCATTTATAACTAATATATGGTAATTTGGGAAGCAGGGGCTGGGCATTTGGGAACAGGCAGTCAGGCCAGGAAATGTATGATTATAGAAACCAACCCTGCTTCAAGAAGACATGGAACTGAAAGAGCGGGAGGAAACCACAAGAGTTCACAGTGTGCACCCAGCAAAGGCATTCTGAGAATGAGTGGTACAGTCAGAGTCACAGCCAAAGGTGACATGGGCTTCCATGCCGCTCCCAAAGCTTCCTCACAGCAACCATCAGAGCAAACCACCAGCCGCCAGAGTGGGAGAAGACTCTGTGCTCCCGACAGCAGACTAACACTAAGGACAGAGAAAGAACTCAAGGCCCAGGGGATGGTTCAGCGGAGAAGGTGCTTCCTACTCAACTTGAGGACCTGAGCTCTGACTCCAGACTATCACACGACAGCTCAACTGTGCATCTGAGCACGCCTCCACATGCAACCACACACAGGCGAGTCCACAAGAGCACACGCAATGTAACAAAGACCTGACAAACATAAGCAAAAACAAATACTCCAACCAGTAAATGGGTCAGTGTCTTAAGCAGATAGTGTTCTCCTGAAGCAATAGAAACAGCCATAAAAGCACACGGGGAAACGGCCAAGCCTCGGTCAGGAGCAAATGCAGGGAAAACTGTGTGGAGATCGCAGGGCGTCCCAGCCAGACTGGCTGCCGAGGACACACGGTGAGTACAGGTGAGGATGCGGGGTGAGAAGAAGCGGGGTGCACCGCACGTGGGCGTGTCTGTTACCGTAGCCTGTCCATCAGCACCGAGGGCCCCAGCAACGAAGTCCATAGCAACCACATGACCCAGCTGTCAGAAGCATCTAAGCCAGCACATCACAGTTACCCACACACCCGTGTTCACCGTGGCACTACTGAGGAGACACATCGATGCGTGTGTGTGTATGTGTATGCATGTATGTATGCATGTGTATGTATGCGTGTATGTGTGTATGCATGCATGTATGCATGTGTATGTATGTGTGTATGTATGTGTGTATGTGTGTGTATGTGTATGTATGCATGTGTGTATGTGTGTATGCATGCATGTATGTATGTGTATGTGTATGTATGTGTGAATGCATGTATGCATGTGTGTATGTGTATGCATGTGTGTATGTGTATGTATGTGTGAATGCATGTATGCATGTGTGTATGTGTATGTATGTGTGAATGCATGTATGCATGTGTGTATGTGTATGTATGTATGTGTGAATGCATGTATGCATGTGTGTATGTGTATGTATGTGTGAATGCATGTATGCATGTGTGTATGTGTGTGTATGTATGTGTGTATGTGTGTGTGTATGTATGTATGCATGTATGTATGTATGTGTGTATATGTGTGTATGTATGTGTGAATGCATGTATGCGTGTGTGTATGTATATATGAGGTAAATGCAGAGGGGCACATTTGCCAGACAGAGTGGACAGGAAAGAGCGTGGGTGGCGAGTGACAGTAAAGACGGAAGAAGGCGAGCAGAGAGCAGTCGTGCACACTGAAATGCCGTGATGAATCCTATCGTGTTCATGAAAATTTAACAGTGATAAGCATAAACCAGTCAGTGGGGGAAATATCTCATGGGGCAGATGCTGGACACCTGGGCACGGAAGAGACAGATTCCAACAAATTCCAGATTTAATTAGTGTACACCCTGAGTGACCTGGGCCTCAAAGTCCCCATAGGCTGTCCCCTGGACTGAGACTCACGGTCTCTGAGAGTTAGGGACAACCTTGACATTTACATGTTGCACACTGGGCCCCAAGAATTGCTGACATTTGTGAGAAAGGGCTTGCTTAGTTGTCCCTGTTCTCTGTCCACAGAGCCACTGGCAAAACCTCAACTCATAGTTGCCAACCTGACTTATAAGGAAGAGGATGACATGAACATGACCTGTCTTGGAAAAGAGGAGGGAACCCAAGTCACATGGCTCTACAATGGAAAACCAATGAAAATTGCTCGCTCAGCCAAGATTTCAATGTTGCAAAGTAACAGACTGATTGTCATACACAGCCTTCAAAAGGAGGATGCTGGCACATATCAGTGTGAGATCCGCAATGAGTTAACTTACAGCCAGAGTGACCCATTCCACCTGAACGTGTTAGGTGAGTGACCTCCTGCATTTTACATGGCTGAATGTTTACAAAGCTGTTTTATTTCAGGGTGGCGTGAGAGCTATGGAGCATGTGTGTAGGTCACATGACAGCCATAGGAAGTCGGTGCTCTTCTTCCACCTCTGCCTGGGTTTGGAGGATTGAACTCAGATCATCTGTATTGTGCATTAAGCTCTTGTACCTGCTGTACCATTTCCCAGGATCCTTACTGGGGGAATTTGGTTTTTACCAATGCTGTACAAAATAGTGAGGCATAGTGCCATTCACCTATTACCCGACACTTGGGAGGCTGATGCAGGGGAATGGAGCATAAGGCCAGCCTGGACTACAGAGCAAGACCGTGTCTCTAAATTGTTTCAATGCAAATACAAGCAAGACTGTAAACCCATTTACCAAGTGGTTAAGGGTTAAGCTCTGAGTCAGGATGTGGTCGTTGGTATCCATGGTAACTGGTTCCAGGAAGCCCACGGGTATGAGAACCTTTGGAAGGATGCTCTAGCTCCTTGCACAGATGTCAGTGTCTCCGTGTGAGTGTGCATGCTATCCCACACACTGTATGTCGTGCTCAGATTCCAGCACGGGATACAGCGCCACCACCAGGCAAAGAACGCAACTGTTAGTGAGAAACGATGCCAGGACACGTCTGCGCAGTTTTCAGTGCAGAGACAGTTGTTCTGCAATGTTTTGTTTTGTGGGGGTCTTTTTGGTTTGGGGGGACAGTGTCCCACGCAGCCCAGGCATCCTCACAGTGTGTAGGTGGTGGTTGTTTGAACTGTTGATCCTCCTGCCTCCACCCCCCAGGTGCTGCTCCTACAGGTGTGCACGCCACATCTGGATTCCTCCCAATACTCCTGACCTGAGTTTAATTGAATCCAGGGAGAAGAAAGCTATAAATGGAGAAGGCATTGTTTCCTATTGTGTGTCTGCCATTTACAGTGCGACCTTGAGCAAGATTCTCTTGTGTGTGTGCCTTTGTGCACACACACACACACACACACAGGATACACACATACATACATATATTTATATATATATGTATGTATATATATTCTACTTTAGCTATTTTGAAGCATACGGTTCACTGACATTACATATATTCAGTGTTGTATAGCCACACTCACTATCGATGTCCAAAACTTTATCATTTTAACATACAAATCTATAGCTCTATTTAAAAATATTTGTGGGTCCAGGACAGTGGATCATCTGGTAAAGTCCTTACTGAGCAGCTATGAGGACCTGAGTTCAGATCCCAACCATCTATGTAACACGGAAGCACATGTCTGTACTCAGAGAGGACAAGATGGAGAGAGAATAGCCCTGGAGCTAACAGGCAGGGAATGTAGCCAGCTGTGCGGTTACAGAGATCTCCTCTCCCAGAAGAAGGTGGGGAAGCTATTGAGGAAGATCCCCGACACCGAGTCCTGGCCTCTGCATGTGTGTGCTCCTGCGTCACCCCACATGCACACATGAGCACACACACCCAGACACACACACGTAGACAACATTGCCCCATTTGCACCCTCCAGCCCCCGGAACAACAAATCTACTTCCTGCTTATTTGACTCCCCTGATCCTTTCACGTAAGGGGAAAAAGAAATCAGTCCTTAAATCTGGTTTACATCACATCACATCATCTCAGAGCTCTTCCATGCTGCAATGTGTCAGGTCCCACCTTTTTAACCATGAAGACTAGAGTATGTTTTGTCTAGTCTTGAAATCCTAAGTCCCTATCCTCCTGTTTCAGCTTCGCTTCAATGTTGGCACTCTAGACATCAGCCACCATGATTGGCTTCTCATTTTTATTAAAAAACCACTCTAAGATTGTCTCAGTATATGGATAAACTATATTTTTGTTATTCATTGAACCATCAATGGGCTTTGGGCTGTTTGTGCCTTTGCTGTTGTGAACATGGCTGCTCTGTAGATTGGGAAGCAAATATTTCCTGGGCTCACTGCACTGTTTCTTCTGGTCCTATATCCACACATACAATTACTGTATCTAATAGTGGCTTGGTGGGTTGGTTTTTATGGACGTGGTCTCATTCTGGATATTATGGAACTATATAGCTCAGGCTAGCCTTGAACCCACAGTAATCCTCCTGCTTCAGCTTCCCGAGTATTAGGATTATAGGCCTGAGACCTGACCCCACAGATGTTTTTTAAAAATAAGAACCTACATTAGGATTAGAGAGATGGCCCAGTGAGTTCAGAGCACTGACTGCTCTTCCAGGGGACCCAAGTTCAGTTCTAGTAGCTACATGGTGGCTCTCAAACATCTGTGGAGAAGGGATGCCTCTCATGTCTGTGGTAGTCACATTTACATGGACACACCCATAAGCCAACACACACACACCTACACGTAATTAAAAATAACACAACAAAACTTTTTTAAAAAAGAACCTGCAATACCAAGAGTTTAATGTCTTGTTGACCTTCCATCCATACCTACAATGACTGGACTTCAAACACCCCCTTCCTAAGAGTCATTGTTTGGTTTCATTGTTGCTTTGAGTAGTATCGTGTGCATTTTTACAATGACTACAGGTGTTAAGCGTGTTTGTGAGACAGTGTCTCACCATATAACCCTGGCTGAGTAGCCTAGAATTCCAAGAGTGCTGGGATTGAAGGTGAGCACCACCATGCCCGGCCCATAGGCTTCTTTTCTTTTTTTGTGTTTTTGAGACAAGGTTTCTCTGTGTAGACCAGGCCTTCCTGGAACTCGTATTATAGACCAGGCTGCCCTGGAACTCAAAGAGCTCCGCCTGCCTCTGTCTCCCGAATCCTGGGATTAAAGTGTGGGCCGCTATGCATGGCCCCATAGCATTTCCTTATGTGCTGTTCTAGTTAGCTTTCCAGTTACTGTGACAAAACACCCTAACCCAAACCAACCCGGCAGTTAGGGGTTTGTTTGGCATGAAGGTCCTGGTCAGAGTGTGTCACTGAGAGACATACAGCCAGGAGCCATGGGGAAGGTTTCCTGGCTTGCTCCCCCAACTTGCTCAGCTGCCTTTCTCATAGAACCCATGAGAAGGGGGCCACCTGCAAGGGGATGGCACTGGGTCCTCCTCCTCAGAATAATAGCTAAGGAATACTGGCCAACGTAACAGAGGGGATACCTCAATTGAAGTTTTCTCTTTTCACATGAATTTTGTCTGTCAAATAACCAAAACTAAGCAGCATGTCTTTATTAGCCATCTGTTTCTCTTTATTTAAAAAAGTCAGATCCTTTCCCTCTTTAGTGAGCTGCTTGTGGTTTTTATTGTTACTGTTGTTGAACTGTGAGAGTTCTTTATATATTTTGGCACACATTCAGATGTACAATATGTAACATTTTTTAGCACTTGAAAATGGTCTTTCCACTTTCTTGATACTCGGTCTATTACTGGTTGATAGTGCTTTAACTGTACATAGTCTGGAGAAGTAGAATGTGATCTTTGATGTCTGTGTACAATACAAAATGGCTAAGTCAAGCTATTTGACATCCATTACCTCAGTCATCTCCCATTTGTTATGGTGAGACATTGAAATTCATCTTGGCTGCTCTGAGAGATACACTCCATTGACTACAGTTCTCTAACCTGCTCCTTTTCCTATGTGAAATCTATATCCTGCTACCCACAGTTCCTCACTGTTTCTTCCCCACAGCCAGTTCCTGGTGAGCACTGTTCAGTCTTCTTTCTGGGTAGAAGTTCAGCTCTTTAGCTGGGCAGCTGTTTCTTCTGAGATAAACATTTGGTTGAGGTCAGAAGGAAAGCAAACTCACAAGGCTCAGGAAGCTCCTGAAACTAACAGTACCCACTCACCTCTCCCTGAGGTTGCATAGAGTAACTGTGTCTGGGACAGTAGGCTTTCCCAACTGCCAAGCTGCCTGTGAGTGGCACAGGAAGCCCTGGGCATGCAGCTTCATGATCTGTTACCCATGCTGAATGAGCTTGTCTGTGATGCGGCTGTCTTCCAGTCATCCATGTTCCTAAAAGTAACCCTAAAAAACTCCATCTCAGTAAGCCAGACTTGAGGAAATAGTTTGGTCAGGTTTGGTCCTCTGGAGAAGCCACACAACATGGTTGGCATCTGAGCAGGGTTTGACAGAACCGAAGATGAGTTGAGGAGAGATGATAACTGTAAGAGGCTGTAAGAGGCCTCAGAAAGGACTATCAAGATGGACAACCAAGGCTGACCACTGTAAGGATGGAATGTCAGTGAAGCATTAACATGATGCCTACCTTTCCTCATGGGACATGGGATGGCACACCCGTTTGATGTGCCAGTGACATTCCATGCGATAGGCAGGAAAACCAAAACCAAGCACCCTGAGAACGGCATGTCCATTTGGCAGAATCCCAGAGCAGCCATCTTTTTCTTCTTGGTATGGGATGGTGTTGTAGTCACTTTTCCATTGCTGTGAAGACTCAGTGGCCAAGGCAACTACAGAAGAAAGTTTTTTGGAGCTCACAGCCTCACTGAGGACCATGGGAGCACAGAAGGGGAAGAGAGCATGGTGGAAGCGATCGACCCCGCAGGTCTGTCCTGAAACACAGGGCATCGCATGTTTCAGCACACAGGAGGAGACTTCACAGAGTTCAATACAAGAAACGATGATGACCACTGTACACTCTGCCCCTGAACTGCTTGAACTGGAAAAGGCTTCTAAACAAACAGCCAAAGCGCCAACCAGAGCCTGGGTCACGAGGACTCTGGTCTGAGTATGTAGGGATCGGCCTGAGGACCAGGGCAGAGGAGAAACTGAGCTGTTGTAGGAGAATTGCGTATGTACCAAATCCAGTGTTAATAAAGCAACCTTGATCCAGGAGGGAGTCAGTGATTGACTGACTAGGATTAGCCACAAAGTTCTTGGAGGACTTTGCAGGGCAGCTAGAGAGGACCGGAAGAGACTACAGAGGAGTTAGAGATTCGGGACCACGTGGAGACAGGGTCAGTCAACCGCTCCGATTTCACCCGATCGCTCCGCTTTCCTTGGATTTTTCAGG